AACTAAATGTTTTGGATACCGGTTATCTTTTTTATAGTCAGCTAAAATTTCACTCTTAGGAACAGTGTCTAGTGACCATAATCCAACACTCCCAGATGTACATCCACTAGCTGCAAGATTTTTTATTTCCATACAATCTAAACTACGAACTTGAGAACCTCTACTTTCTTCCCATTGGTAAGTTCTTGAAGGAGTTTTCAAACATATTTGACCATCCTATACATAATATTTGTACATATTTTATACTTATAAAAGAACATTAGGTTACAGAAATGTTAAAGTTCAAATTTGTACTTCTCCGGCGCTCAATATGTTGTCAGATTGCATTAAAATACTTTTCCAAACTCTAGCTTTGTGTGCATAAAGTGAATAAGCTGGTGAAATTTTAGCAAACTTCCAGTGATCATAAGTATTTTGGTGCTCAGCAAATACTTCAACTTTCCAGATAACTATACTTCGATCATCAGACGTAGAACTTATAATTGAATTGGATTTGTTCACCGTGATTGAAAATATAACTCCCTATTTTAAAAATAAATAGATAAAAATAGCAATATCAGTATAATTTATATTAATAAACATACAATCATGATTTCTTACTTCATGCATTTGTAATCTTTGTAAAATATTTAAGCCATTTGATCTTCTAAAAGGACTCCAAATTACTATTTCCCTGAAAACTGTTCCTGAAAATACAATAATATTTTCTTCRTCTTCACCAATTGATGTTGCTGAGTATCTGCTCATTATAATAAATAGGATTACTAAATAATTATTATCAAAGAATTTTAAAATGCTTAAATATAAGTTGCATAGTATGATCTTGAATTTGTTTGGCATTCTGGGGACAAATTATCATCAATTCAAGACAAAACCAAAATAGATTATTTTTTGAGACTTTCAATATTAATTTGAGACAAAATTATTTATGACTTTATGACACTATGTATCAAATTGACTAATTGTTTTCATTTATAAATTATACTGATATATCATAATGGAAATATTTTTATAATATTATGCTATAATTTTTACAAAAAGGATACAATATACATATTTCATCACAACTAGAGGAATTTATTTCCTTTTTAAGTTCCAAATTCCAAACTGTTGCCAMATTATGTGCAGATACTGTTAATAAACAATTTGAATTCATCCATAGGATGTTACAAACCCAATCAGTGGTTATTAGGATACAATTAAATTCAATGCTAGAAATAAAAATAAAAATTTAAAACTAATTCTAAGGCTATAAAATGTGAAATGCTATTTACACAAAACCCATCTTAGTTGTTAATTTATAAATGGCCACATATTTTTCTCCATGAACRGCAATCAACATTTGTTTGTCATTAAAATGAATACCATGTATTGAAGCTTTATCAAAGATTTTTCTACGCAGACAAWGTTTTTTTGACTCAGTGTCATAGACTAGCAAAATATTGCCAATACCTAAACGGWAAAAAGAATGTAAATAAGTGAAAATTCWCATAAATCAAATGAGCCGTAAATTACCCACCAGCTAATAGAAATTGATCAATAAACTTAACACATGAAACAGTATTGATCAAAGATACTGACTTAAATAATTTTGACTTTTTGACATCTTTGCAGGAAAACATGATTTCGTCACTGTTCACAATTCAGTAATAATTTGACTAAACTGAGTAGAGCTGAAGAATACTCAGAATAATTGGAATGTAAAAGTAACAATAACCAAAAAAGCAATAATAAAAAATAATTGATATTGTTAGTTGTTATTTGCATTGCATTTTCAATTTTTTTTTTTACAACAGAATAACACCACAAATTTAAATTATGAGTTAGATAGTTATAATTGTTATAAATTTATAATAGAACTCTTATAATAGACAGTCTTAGACAATAGGCACGTGCGGCCGTGCGGACGGCGAGCGTCGAGCGGTATGATTTCAGATAAGTCTTATCGCTTTACGACGTTGTTGGGGAACCGTCAAATTTTTCGTAGTATTTTTATCACGTCTATCACTCTCCCGTTGTTATCGCTTTTCGCGGACTTTTTTTTTTCCAAATCCGTCGAAATATTTTCCTTTAACCCCCACACGAGTTTTCCGATTTCGACTGATTTTCGGCCTCTTGCCGCACGTGTTCGGTTTTCGTTCACGTTCTGTTCCCGGATCGACGTGACGATCGCAATATATGCCGCCGCCGGTACTCGGTAGTTCGTCGTACCTACGTATTTCTCGCCTTTTTCCATTATTATCTATCCGTTTCGTATTTTCGCACCCCGTGTATGCTCTATTCCGTACACTGTAAACGGTTACATCATATAAACTATGAAACGATCAAAAAATATTGCTTAACATTGTAATAGGTACATCGTCGAATATAATATTATTATTTTAGTCAAGAGTAAACGATAAGTGCACTTTACCACATCCCTCATGAATTAAAAATTTTTTTCGTACTTAGATATGTTACTTTAACTTAGCGGTACAAACGATGATGAAGAAACTGATAATATTGTTTATTAATATATATTCTATWTGTTAATTGTATAACTGGTACCTATAAGAACAAACAATAATTAAAAAAAAAATTAATTTGAATTATTGTTGCAAGCATGGGTACAAATGTAAAATCTTAAGTTTTCAAAGATTATAACCTCCAAAATARTGGTTTCTGAAAAAAAAATTCAAACGGTTCCAAAATCAGCGATGAAAATCCTTTTGAAAAAGATTTTTTAAATTCGTGAGGGATGTGGTAAAGTGCATTTGTTCTAATGTTAATCGTACTAAAATCTTACTCTAGGTGGTTTTACATAACAAATCAATCCTCGGATCTTTGTTTTATATCCTTATCCATATTCCTTAGAGAAGCTTTCACTTACAGCCGCACATCGCCGTGTCCGCGATCTATCGCAGGTGGACACTCCAAACACGACTTTCAGACTTACGCTTTACCTTTCAACTTTGATAAAAGGACAAGACTGTACCACAGAATATATGAAATTTCATATATTATTCTGTGACTACACAGACTGTGTGGACTAGAGAGCCTTGATAGTGTGGACTATCTGTCTATGGTCTATCTATGGACATACCTAAGAGATTTGTAATCCATGAAAACGAAACTCGAATTTCAAACTTCCCGCCTTGGAAACAATACGTTATTCTGTGACAATACCTCCATGCTTTATCACTAATGGTTATCACTTCCTACAACCACAGATTATTCAAAATCTGTAATAATATAATCTGTACTACAACTTTAAGTTTTTGCCCAACTTTAATAATTGGTGGTATACMCCATCAAGCACAGAGGGCTAGAAAGTCATAAATGTTGAATTTGCTTCTGAAATAAGTTATAATTTATCATCATTTCAACAAATGAACTCATTGACTAAATCACTGTGTGATGAAAACCACTGAAGACAGTTAAATATAAGCCTACATTTTTACTCATTATTATTATGTGATTATGAACATTCAAATAGGTAGAATATTAAACATAATTACGTAAATAAATCAATTAACTTCAAAAATTATTTTTGATGTACCTACTAGTACTAGGTATGTTATTTTAAATTATATGCATTAGTAGGTTTTTAGKTAACTCAGTGCTTTAARCTCAGATATTAATAATGTTGACATTCTACAAATGCCTACTTTGTATAATGCCTATACACGTAAAATATCTTATCAAAATTTTAAATAAGCAATTCCCTCATAAATGCCTTTTAGATAATTTTGGTTGTTTCATAACTAAAGCCAATCTATGTATTCTAAAATCAAATTATTTGTTATAATTATATTTCAGTGTGATAACTACATAAGAAAAACAATATATTTATTCTTTCATAAAAATTGTACAAAATTAGCAATGGTTTTACCATGTGAAAGAGTGTAAGAATTGTAAAAAWTTTTTTTATATAACCTAATTTGGGTGTGGTATGACGAATTATAGCATAGGTAAATTATAATGTGCAACACATTTATTAATAATTAATCTTTTTTGTATTTCATTAGTTTTATGTTAACGGTACCTTATCATGTATTATGATTTTACAGTATTGAGGAATGAAGGAAATATTAAAATCTGTAACGACTATAATAATGAAAGAAATATTTTATAAAATTGTTGGACAATTGACTGCTAATATTATATTGCTGATATAAATTTGTATACATCCATCAGTTTGGTGAATAATCTGATCTATTTTTACACAAAATTAATGCTGTAATTATTCTTTTCGGCATTGATAAAGTAAATATTTGATTCTAATAAACTGTAATATATTATATTTTAAGGGTTTGATTGTTCTAGAGCAATGTTATTGATACCATGAATAAATCTAATCTTTAGTTGAGCGAAGTCAAGTTGAGGTTTTGATGCTATTAGGTGAAAAAAACATAGATTGTCAAATGTCCAATAAGCGACTAACAGTACAAATGCATTTTATCATAATAAAAAAAAGAGAATTCCAATACTTTTCATGATTGTTTATTATGTCAATTGAAATATTTGAATGGTGTCGGAAAAAACCCTTTTGAATTGATCGAGCTGGAGTAAAGTTTTGATGAAATGGGTACAGCTGGAATTGAACATGTTAACAAGTCCTGTATGCTCATCATTGGACAAATCTTAAATCTAAGTGTATATAACTTAAGATTCACTTAGTAAATTATTATTTACATATCTTATTATGCTAAGCTCAAATAACAAATCTTAGTACTAAGTCAATAATCAAAGATAGCATACTAAATTCACAATTAATTGGAAAATTATCAGATTTAAAAATAGACACAGAGTAAGAATCTGAGTAGGATGGTGACTTATTTAGTAAATATAATAATCAATATAATATTAAAATTGATTTACTTAAATTTGTACTTTAGCTGAGATGTTTGAAGGAGATTTTAATTTTCTCAAGACTATTGACAAAGTAAGAAAGTTAAAAGAATAAATTTCTGCAATGTCCGACAAAGAAAGAAAAGATGTTGCTGAAAAGACATTGACAGARTGTTGGAAAGAGTTTTTTAGAGATGATGTAGATCTTTAAGTATTATTTATTACAATAGTGGAATTAAAAGTATTATGAAAACTATTAAATATATACTGTGTTTATTTTAGMATCATACAAATTATCAATATAATTTATTTGTCTAATCTACAAATTGGATTATCTTGTACCATTTGTAAGTTAACCCTAGGCCCAACTAGATCTCTAATATTGTTAATGCCATATTTAATCATAGTTGGTCTCTCTAACGATAATCCCCAAGCTATAACATTTACTTTTTCTGGTAATCCCATCGGTAACAGCATTTCAGGACGAAACATTCCAGAATTGCCAATTTCAATCCATTTTTTGAGTCCTTGATGATAACAAAATATTTCCATGCTAGGTTCTGTGTATGGATTGTAAGCAGGTTTAAATTTAATTTCAGTCATTCCTAATCGTTCAAAAAATGTGTGAAGAACACCAATCAAATCTCCCAAGGTTAAATTGTAATCGGCTATTACTCCTTCCACTTGATGAAACTCTGCCAAATGAGTAGCATCCAAAGTCTCATTTCGGAATACTCTGTCGATACTAAAGTACTTAGTTGGTTTAAAATCCTTAGCTAAGCCATRCAACATACGAGCACTTACAGCTGTAGTATGAGTTCTCAAGACATTTTTCTTAGCTTCGTCTAAAGACCAATCGTAGCCATATCCTTGAGAACCATAGCCACCTTTAGAATGTACTGTTTTTACCTTGTTTAAATATTCTTGAGGAAAGTTTTCACTAGTTTGAGGGTTGTCCAAAAAAAAAGTATCATGTGAGTCTCTTGCTGGATGTTGTTGAGGTTGGAATAATGCATCAAAATTCCAAAATGAACTTTCAACAAAATTATTTGTTGGCATTTCAGTAAAACCCATTTCAAGAAATATTTGACGAAAGTCTGAGCGAACTTTCAATAAAGGATGTAAGCAACCAGCAGATTGTGGCTGCCCTAAGGCTTCAAAATTGTAAGACTTGAATGGAGTTGATTTCCATGAACCAGATAATATCATTTCTGTAGTTAATTCAGTTTCTAATTTTACAATAGATGTTGTAAATTCTGGACCCTTACCTGAAAAAAAAATAATACAATTAATATATTAAAGAACAATGAATACCTGAGTAACTACCTAATGTAAAACTTTTTACGACAACTTCGCGAATAAGTTTTCGTTTTTTGTAATCCAACTTATCAGATTCAGAAATTTGATCATGAGATGCTTTCAGTTCCATCAAATCATTTTTAACCTTATCAAAGACTGAATCGACTTTTTTCATCACTTTGTTTGCTGCTCGATCAATGACTATCCAACCCTTTGACATTGCCTGGCTGAATCCAATTTTTGCATTTGGTATTGACATTAACTCCTTTTGAGGTATCCCATCAGATGGAATAGCGTTAAATAGGTTTACCTCATAACTACCATTCAATAAGATGGATTCTCCTTCGTCTGTAAGTTCCCAATATTTGCTTGTTACTGGATCAGCAGTAATAATATTTCCCAATGCCAATATGCTATTAACAACACCAATTATTTTTTGATGATCAATATTGTTTTCTTTACTTAAGTCCCATGTGTTAATGGAGCATTTAATATCCAAAAGATTTAACAACTGTTCTGAATCCATAATTATACAGCGTTAAGAAACTAGTAATTAATTTAACGTTGTGTCTAGTTGTCTACTCTACTGTGTATATTAAT